ATTTAGTGGTTCATTTATGTGTTTCTGCGTTTATTTCTAATTATGTCAGTGTCGGTCCTCCATACAGCAGAACTTGGAAGAGGTAATTCAGTGACTGAATCAGGTGTGTTGGAGCAGGGAAATATGTAAAACATGCAGGACTGCGGCCCTCGAGGACCAGGATTGCCCACCCCTGCTCTAAGCCGTGGCCACGCTTTTATTAATATCAAATCATCAATGTGACATTATTTATTTATTCACTTGTGTTTGTCCAAATAGTCTGTCCAACTCTTACTTTCATTGTGCTTTATTCATTAGTCTTAAGCAAGGAACTGATTGTGACTTTTTACTGTCTGGAACTAAGTTTAAATTTCAAACATATTTGCACAGATAAAAAACAAACCTCTGTGTCCTGCACACAGAACGAAGACGCTCTTTTTACCATCTTGTGAAATCAGTCGAAATTGTAGTTACACTCACTGACAAAAAACAAAAAAACAAAAAGAAAAACTTTGAGCATACAGAAGGGATGGTCTGATTTGGATGTAATTTACTCCACGAGGAGACAAGAAGCAGATAAGTGAACCCACTTTTACATTGCCCAGTCTCAGCACGACTTGCCCCGCCCGAATTCAAAACAACCCGGCTGGACACGGTCTCAATACTTACATAAAATTGAGTGGCGCCTTGATATTAGATGCCTGAAACTTATTGTCACCAAGTAAATAAAAAGAGAAATGAAATCAGTAAACACTCACCATTCTCTGCCTCGGCTTCTAAACCTGCTGTGGCCAAGTTTAGGCCACCTGTCCTCCACCGGTCAAGGCCTGTCAATCAACTCCATCCGAATTCTGTTGTTAGCCAACAAGCAAAAAAAAAAAAAAAAGTCTGCTGCTCCTCGTAGTAGCATTTAGATGCATTTTATGTATATTTTGACAAGGTACATGCCAAAAACAAATGCTGAGGTTTTGAAAAGATTCACTGTCATGATTGACATCGCTCTCTGGCCAATTGATGGCCTCAATGGTCTTCTGACGTCTTTTTGATGTGAGCGGGGATCATAATATTAAAAAAAAGCACAAATCTTATTTTGTTTGATTTGTGGCACAATGGTCTACATCAAACTTGAAGGAAACGTATCAAAGACTGTAAAGGACCGTCTAGCAGTATGGCGCTAAAGCTAATATTAGCTTATTGCCTTGATGTTCAGTTTTTATTTTGTGAGTGAGTGTATATCTGATTAATACCTTTTCCATTTGAGACTTTTAAATATAGCTTCTGCTTTAGTAGGCTCTTGTATGTTAAATTGAACATTTTCATGACTTACAAAGCTGAACACTTGTTTCTGATTTCAGTTAATCAAGGTTTATGTAGACTTGCTGTAGTTCCACTTGGCAGTGCATGTAAAAGAAATGTGACCAAATAAATGACTTCTTGTATACCTTACATCTATGTGCCACACCAAAGATAAATATTTAGGCATATCAGTTTCTGTGCCGCCTTAAAAATATTTGTCTCTACTTCGCCAACTTGTAAATTTCACTGCCTTTGCATAAAAATCAAAATTTTTTAATCTGTACGCATAAATGTCTGATCTGCAATAAATGTATGTGAACATAAAACAATTGCTTTTATCTATATTGTATGTTTTGCTTTGTTTTTACTTAGCTGTTTTTGGTACAGAACAATCTACAATATGAGAGAAGTAGCCTGTGCTGCCACCTACAGGCTAAAAATGGATAATAGCTAAAGATGTTTCACTGATGTGAAATATTCATGTGTTTGATTAATCTGTCTTTCTCAAGGGGAGATTGAATTAAAGAACTGAAAGTAATCTGAATTTTTTTTACATCAAAATACACAAACATAAACAATGGAGGCAATTGACAAAACAGAAAAAAGCACAAGCTGTCACTATAAATCCTGCATTTAGATAAAGGTTTTTATTTAAAAGTCAGATTATAACAGCTGTAATCACAGTCATAATGAGTTTTACTGGCTGACCTGTTTATGAGGTAATAGAACAGATAATAGAGCTCCTTTGTGGTCTAAACGTCCTCACTGACTCATTAAGCTCAGACTAAAATATTAAAAAGGAAAAAAGAGGAAAAACAACAGTAAAAATGAAGGAAAGTTGGCTACATTAGTGAAATATGTGCTCATTATTTGGAGCATGCGCAGTAGACGGTCGTGTGGTGAACCATGTGATTAGTCACGTGACCCGGAAAGGTTGCAAACAAAACAACTAGGGAAGCAGGGATCATGTTTAGTTGCTTTCCCAGCCTCTGCAGACAGGTTTGATTTGATTTGATTTTTTATTTAGATGTCATAATATCAACGTATCGTAAAGTTCAGCACAGGACTACACGAGTTCCGTGTCGGCTGGCCTCGCTGCAGCCATGATATCCGTGTTTCTCCTCTTCCTCGTCGCCCGTGTGTCGGCTCGCTACACGGCGGACTGGACGAGCCTGGACGCCAGGCCGCTCCCCTCGTGGTTCGACGAGGCCAAGGTGGGGATTTTCGTCCACTGGGGGGTGTTCTCTGTCCCCGGCTTTGGCAGCGAGTGGTTCTGGTGGCACTGGCAGGGCCAGCAGCCGCCGGACCCGAAGTGCGTGGCGTACATGGCCGAGAATTACCCGCCTGGATTCAGCTACCCGGAGTTCGTCAACGGGTTTCACGCTCAGTTCTTCAACCCGGAGGAGTGGGCGGACATCTTCAAAGCCTCTGGAGCAAAGTAAGCAGAGCCGAACCTCGTGCTACTTCCGCGTCTCGTGACACAGAAAGATCACTTAAATATCAACACTCCTTACAGATATGTGGTCCTGACTGCCAAACATCACGAAGGATTCACCAACTGGGAGTCTCCAAACTCCTGGAACTGGAATTCGGTGGATGCTGGTCCTAAGAGGGACCTAGTGGGAGACCTGGGAGAGGCAGTCCGAAACAGGTGGGTCCACACGGAACCAAGTACTTGTTCAAAACAGTGAGACTCATTCTTTGATTTAAAGACACTGCAGCAAAAACAATAACACATTTCCACTCTTGCGTCACTTTAATACATTAAAAAACGTCTTCAGTGGTTTCAGTCACAGTATCAGCTTACAAAATAAAAGTTTTTAAAAGCTTCTCAAGTTGCGGCAACTTCACTCCTGAGTGTTTATTAGGGTTGCAAGTATTCACAGATTTAAAATGCATTTACTAAGTAAATTAATGCACTGACTGAGATGTTTACTGCCAACAGGCGCCCTCATGTGGTCAGAGCATAGAACTACACACTTATCTCGACTTTTAAAGGTCTAGCCTTCAAATAAAGTTTAAAAATAAATAAAATTTTGCTTATTGTATCATCTCTGCAGACACGACTTCTTAGAGTACATCCAAAATGTTTTTCTTAAATGTTTTTTTTTCTCATTTAGGTCGCTGCACTATGGACTCTACAACTCTTTGTACGAGTGGTTTCATCCTCTTTATTTGGATGACAAGAAGAATGGATTTAAAACTCAGGAGTTTGTGAAGCTTAAACTACTTCCAGAGCTGTATAACATGGTTGTAAGGTCTGTAGGTACTACATTCAGTCATTTTATTTTGGTGCAATAAAATAGTGACACAGTTAAAATGGCTTGTTGTCCTTTGCCACTGCACAGTGTCGTCAAAATAACGTTTGATCCTTTGTCTTCTCATTGACCTGTAGGTACCGACCTGAGGTGATCTGGTCTGATGGAGACTGGGAAGCACCAGACACCTACTGGAACTCCACAGAGTTCCTGGCGTGGCTCTACAATGATAGTCCTGTTAAAGTCAGTATCTTTATTATAAGAATACACATTTAAACAACAAAGGGTGGAGTTGTACTCACCGTGTCCCTCCTGGGTCAGGATACTGTTGTGACCAATGACCGATGGGGAGCTGGGTGTGCTTGTAAACATGGCGGCTACTATAACTGCGAGGATAAGTATACTCCAGGCCAGCTGCCCAGTCACAAATGGGAGAAATGCACGTCTGTGGACACCTTGTCCTGGGGTTATCGTCGAAACATGAGGCTTCAGGAACTTATGGACTTGCCCGCAATTATCAAGGTAAAAATGCACGTTAACTAAATCCTGGCAAGTAGATCTAAGGTTCTGCTTATTTAATCCTTGTTTGTTTCTAAATTCTCCTTGTTTTGTCTCAGGATCTGGTCAGCACCGTGGCCCTCGGAGGAAACTATCTCCTCAACGTTGGCCCCACAGCCGACGGGACCATCCCCACTGTGTTCGAGGAGAGGCTCAGGGGTGTTGGAGCCTGGCTGGAAATCAACGGCGAAGCAATCTTTGCCTCCAAACCCTGGAGGGTTCAGATGGAAAATGCCACTGTTCCCGTTTGGTAAGGGCCGAGACCAGAGTCCTGGAGTCTCACAGGGCACTGTTTGGAGATAAGATATTGCGCAGAAATACGTGAATTCTTACTGGGAATTACACCAGTCCATCAAACTTCAGCTGTTTTTTTTAATAATAAACATTAAATGACATTGATTATTACGTTACAGTAGATAGGTACGTTACAAAGCCCGCCTCTCAGCCGATGTAAGCGGGTGTATGTTTTGTCCTCCAGTTGCATATTTCATCGGTCACCAGGAGTATTTCACTCTGATTTTTTAGTATGACGTAGCAAAAAGTTACCCTTTCACCACAATTTTGAACAAATGGGTTCTGCCATTTTTTCTGGCAGTTGATCGATGATGAAAATCTCACTCTAATTCAATAATCAACAAATTCATAATTCAACCAAAAGATAATATTTGATGTAAGCATTGGCTGAGTTTCATGACAGTCTGATCAGGGAAACGTTCAAGACCCCAAACATGAGGAGGATGCAAAACAATTAGTTTTCTGTCTAGTTTTACAGTTAGTGCCTATTTTTAATGCATGATAATCTTAGATCATGCAGTTTATTAAGCAATACATTAATTAATTAATAATGAATATAGGTAGCCAATGTTAAGAGCATGTTACTTCCTACTTCTCCTGGAAATTTAATCCAATTATCTCAAGAATTAAAGTCATGCCTATTTGTTGCAGAGTTATCACAGGTTTTTAACGTTAAAGCAGCGATACTAAAATCACCTTAAACTCCTCATTTTATCACCAATCTCTGTTGTTTGAAGCTCTATCCATTGCACTTATTAAAAGAATAACTGACTTTTATATATTTTGTGTCTCATACCTATGGTAGGTATACCTCTAAAGGTGATACGATCTATGCTGTTATGACTGCCAAACCACCGGGCACCATACTGCAGCTGCAGACTCCCAAAACATCAGCATCCACAAAGGTAAGGATCATCCCACTCTGCTTTGTCTTATCTTACTGATAATAGATTTACAGGACTGAATAGTTCAAACCTTTGACCCTATTTATTTATTTTGTTTGTTTTAGGTGATCCTGTTGGGCAGTCAGTCACCCTTACCTTGGTCTCCACTCTACCCCAACGGGGGCCTCACTGTGCTTTTGCCTGAGCTGCCCCGTCTTCCTGGTCATGTTTGGACACTTAAACTAGAATCTGTGCATTAAGGTTCAAACATAAGTTTATAACTAACTGAATGAAAATCAGTTTTAAACTCAGGTTTTTTAAACACAGGATAATGATTTGATTTGATTTATTTAACAGGAAAAGATTATTAAAAATCAAGCCCGACTCAGCATAATTGCTGTTTTACAGCAGGTTCCTGTTCTGCAGCACATAAAACACTCAGAAATACAGCATCACAATCACATCATTATACACCATAGACACAAAGACAAACAAGCATACCAAATTTCAAAAAGGCAGCATTTGCAAAATAGGATGTCTAAATATGAGCGCAACAAAAAGTGTCCAGCAGAAGGCAGACAAGATTCTTCTTAAAGGGCTGTAGTTTTGAAATGGACTTTATGTTTTGAGGAATGTCATTCCATGCTTTAGTATAAACATAGAAGAAAGACCTCTGGCTGTAACAGTTTTTAAAAGTTGGTAATATCAGTTGTCCTTTTGTAACAGATCTGGTTGAATGACCACTTCCAGAATTGGATTTAGGCAACAATGCACAGAGAGTTCTATAATTGGCACCTTGGAAGATCTGAAAATATAAATTAATACCACTATACAAAACATAACTCTGAAAAGTCAAGACATCAGACAATGAAAGAACGGTACAGTGATGAGTCCAACCAGGAAGTTTGTGAGAACATTTGTACTTTTTAAAGGGATTAAAGGGACAGTGTTTGTGTAATGGGTTACTTTCTTTTATTTACTTTTTCGTTGCCAAATGACAGAAATCAAACTCTTAATGATTCAGTTGTTTCTTGCATGACTATGAGCTGAATTTGGCATCTTGAATTTCTGTTTTCTTGACCATGAATGAAAAGTAGAATTTACTGTACAAAAAACTTTTTCTCAAAAGCACTTTTAAATAAATGTATATTTTTAAAATTTATCTTTTTTAAATGTTGGAATAAATTGTCTTTTGGAGCATTTGTTTGTGTTTCGTATTAGTCTTACCTAAAGTCTTTTTTTGGTGATTAACTCATATCTAGTTATTGTGGTCATTTGACAGCTGTGCCTTCGGAGGCCACTTCTCATTTATCCTTCACACTTTGAGACAATGCAGAGATGGTAAACTTTAAAACAGTAATAAAAGTAAAAAGGAGACTGAAAAGAAAACACACAGGTTATATTGTTAAACTGCTTACCAATACGGAAAATGTTTATTTAACCAGCTGCAGTCAAGCTAAATTTTAGGACTTATAAAAAAAACCAAAGGTTTCAATCTTCTACCGTTGATCTGTAGTCAGGATGAGAGAAACGCAGACATCCCTCTCCACAGTAACACTTTCCAGCTTGTCCTGAAGTGTTCATAGGCCAGAAAAGATCCATAATCCCTCCATGGAGTCCTGGGGCTTCCTTACAGTGGTCAGGATCTACCAAAACAAATTTTAATGTACGTCTGAGTAGCTAAGGATGAATAGAAACTTGATGTTTGGGAGATGTCAGAACAAATCTAATGAAATTGCTGTTTGCATCTTTAACCTGGACTCCAAAACTCGTTATTTGGGCTGTAAAACCGCATCAAACTGACAACGTGTACTTCAACTCACCAGGGCTGTGATGTTCTGAAGGAGATTCAAACTTTAACACAAAAACCAAATAAAGAGTCCAACCTTATCTGAATTTGTTCAACAGTTTATAGAAATCCCAAACATTTGCTCCAAACCTGAAGAGCTCTCAACTCATCGAAGGTTCATCAACACAGATTGTAATCTGTGCTGTTCACCGAAACATTTCCTGCTTTGAACAACCCACAGTGTTGTTTCAGGTCCAACTTGTGGAAAATTGTCTCTTAACACCGATCATCTCCGATACAATGTCTAAAATCTGAGCAGGAAGGTGAAACCTGGAAACAAAGACAGGTTCATGCAGTTTGGCAGTGATCATGTTCTCTTCCACATGTTCTGTTAGACATTCAGCAACCAAACTCAAATAAAACCCTCAACTTTGAATCAGGGTTATTATAGTTAACTTAAACTAAATAATGAAAACTGAAATTGAAAACATTTTAGTTAACTGAAATAAATAAAAACTATAATAAAATAAAAAACAATAACTAACTAAAACTGTATAATCTTTTTACAAAACTAACTGACATTATAGATAGAATATCCTTACTATTAGTGTTTGTCAGTTTATTTTGAGCCATGTGGACTGATTAATCTTTTTTTTTCTTCAAATAGAGCAGTTTCACATTAACTGTGGGCAGCTTACTGCATCATGGTCCGTAACATCACCTGTTTCCAGTCTGCTGGCTTAGATAAACCATCTCTGCATGGCCTACAGACTGTCCAGAACGCAGCAGTTCGTCTTTTAACAGGTTTTAAAAAGCCTGAACACATAACCCCGGTCCTGACTTCTCTCCAGTGGCTTCCTGTTCACCTGAGAATTGATTTTAAGATTTTATTGATGGCTTTTAAAGTTTTTAATGGTCTGGCCCCGTCATATTTATGTGATCTTCTTAACATCTGCACTCCAGTCAGAGCACTCAGGTCTACCAACCAGTTCCTCTTAGATGTCTCTAGATCCAAACTGAAATCTAGAGGTGACCGGGCCTTTGCAACAGCTGCTCCAAAGCTGTGGAACAGTTTACCTCTTAATATTCGGTCAGCAGAGACTGTTGAGGCTTTTAAATCTTTGCTGAAGATCCATTTATTTTCTTTGGCTTGTGTTTAAGATTTGGAGGTTCAGGGTCAGTGTATCTTTTGGTCATTGGATTTTCATTTTCGAAACAGGTATTAAAAAACAAGAAACGAGTGGTTATTTGATTTTTGTTGTAGAATATAGAAATTAAAATACAAAGCGTTTTCATTCTTTGTGTCAAAAACGGATGAACAAAATTTTTAAAATGTTTGAGTTTCATTTTCTGTTTCAGATAGCAAAAAAAGAAAATTACTTTAAAACAGAAATGAAAAAAAGCCTTGTTTGTTCACATTCCACGACAGGTTGTGGCAACTTACTGTATCCCTACAATAAACTGTTTTTCACCTGAAGGGGTGCCTGCAATATCAAAGTTATTTAATGAACATCCCATTACACAGATATAGATGTTTACCTCATATATAGACTGAATCAAATCGCTTTCCAGTTCTGCGTCTGACACAGATCTTTTTCTCCTCAGATCAAGCCGAGCACAAAATCTTCTGACGCTCATTTCCGAGCATTGTAGGACACCTATCTGCTGCAACAAAAACAAAGTCAACACAGATGTTGACTTTGGTATCAAATATATTTGCCACGTATTTATTTGGTAACAGATCGATATCAAGGTCGTAGTACTGCCCACCCCTCCCTTAAAGGAACACTTCGAGGACGTGAACTGACAGAAAAGGCACAGATTTTGTCAAAACTCAGGAGGGAAAAGAAAAAACATTCTGCTCACAGAACAACAACTGTACAACACAGAAAGAATGAAATTTGTCTGGTTTTGCTTTTTATTGAGAGAAATAGAGGTGAAGTGGAGGAAGTAGCTGACATGTTTTCAGTAAAAGAGACTTATTTGGCCAAAAGCCACATAAAGTATCTCTGCAAGGCCTTTGGTCACAGTGAGAGTCATCATACAACTCATTTATGGACACTTCTCTTTGTTTCTGTCTTTTATTTACAGAAATTAGTATTTCATTATGCGGAGCTGCCAGGCGAGCGCCCCTTCTGGTGGGGGAATAGATAGTGGTAGAATACAAACAAATGAGCCTTTTTTCATTTCTGTCTTAAATGAATTTTCTTTTTTGCTATCTGAAACAGAAAATGAAACTCAAATCATTTTTAAAATTTCGTTTGTCCTTTTTTGACACTAAGAATGAAAAACACTTTGTATTTTAATTTTAATTTCAGTATTTTAAAACAAAAATCAAATATCCACTTGTTTCTTGTGTTTTAATACCCACTTCTAAAATGAAAATCCAATGACCAAAAGATACACTGACCCAAAAGCCACATGAAGTATCTCTGCAAAGCTTTTGCTCACAGAGCGACAGTCATCATACAACTCATTTATGGACATATTTCTCTTTGTTTCAGCCTTTTATTTACATAAATTAATGTTTAATTATGCAGAGCTGTCAGGCAAGCTCCCCTTCTGGTAGGGGAATAGATAGTTGTAGAATACAAACAAACGAGCCTTTTTTCCTTTATGTCTTCAAGCAATTTTCTTTTTTGCTATCTGAAACAGAAAAGGAAACTCAAATCATTGTTAAAATTTTATTTGTCCCTTTTTGACACTAAGAATGAGACACACTTTCTATTTTAATTTTAATTTCAGTATTTTAAAACAAAAATGAAATATCCACTCAATTCTTGTTTTATAATACCCGTTTCTAAAATAAAAATCCAGTGACCAAAAGATACACTGACCCTTTTGGCCAAATAAGTCTCTTTTACTGAAGACATGTCGGCTACTTCCATTTCTCTCAATAAAAAGCTAAATAAGATAAATTTTATTCCATTAGTGTGTTGTACAGTTGTTGTTCTGTGAGTAGAAAGTTTAGTTTTTTTGTCCTGAGTTTTCCCATCCTGAAATTCAAAATCTGTAGTCTGCTTTTTTCTCAGTTTGCATCCTTGGAGTTTTCCTTTCAGTGAAGGGTGGGCAGTACTACGACTTTGATATTGATCTGATACTAAATAAATACTTGGCAAATTTATTTGATGATGAAGTCAACATCAATGCTTTTTACTTGTAATGGGATGTTCATTGAGTAACTTTGATATTGCAGACACCCCTCCTGGTGGTGAAACAGTTTATTGTAGGGAGACAGTAAGTTGGTACGACCTGTCATGGATTATGAACAAACAAGCCTTTTTTCATTTCTGTCTTAAAGTAATTTTCTTTTTTTGCTATCTGAAACAGAAAATGAAAAATCATTTAAAAAATTTGCTCATCCCCTTTTGACACTGAGAATGAGAAACGCTTTGTGTTTGAATTTTAATTTCAGTATTTCGAAACAAAAATCAAATATCCACTCAATTCTTGTTTTTTAATACCAGTTTCTAAAATGAAAAACCAGTGACCAAAAGATACACTGACCGTTCAGAGCTTTTTTCATATATTGTGTTTCTGTATTTGCATCTATTAATTGTTTGTTTTTTGATGTCTTGACTGAACTGTGAAGCACTTTGGTCAGCTTTTGTTGTTGATGTGC